AAATATTTTACAATTTGCGGATGATCTTGTAATATATTGTACAGACCATAATGTAGATAGAGCTGTAAATAGTATAAATAATGCTTTAGAGCAATTGTACATATATTATAATGACAAGTTGGCTCTACAGATTAACCCTAACAAAAGCAAGGCCATGATTTTTAGTAAAGATTTTCCCTCTAATGGCATACTCTACAATAATCATCCAATTTCAGTTGTATCTAACCATAAATTCCTGGGTGTTGTCATTGATAACAAACTTTGTTTTAATTTACACATCAATCACATTATAACTAACTCTCTTAATGGCTTAAATATTATAAGATGTTTAGCTGGTGTGACTTGGGGTGCAGACCCCAAAGTTTTAAGTATGCTATATAAATCTATAGTCAGAAGCCATTTCGACTACAGTTGTTTAGCCTACTCAAATAGTAGTTGTGTAAAAAAACTAGACATAATTCAAAACAAAGCTCTGCGAATTATTTCTGGGGCTATGTGTTCAACTCCCATACGAGCTATGGAAGTTGAAACCAAAATAATGCCACTGTGTCTTAGAAGACTTCTGCTAATAGAGAGATATTTACTAAAGCTGGTATCTGGTAATGATAATGTTCTCAAAAAAATAGTACCTTTTCCTTTACAATGCTCGGTCCAGCAGACTTCGGGAGGTGAGCTTTTACAAGGTTATTTTCCAGTTTTGCCTCTCATTGTACAGCAAATGAATGAAGATTTTAAAAATGTAATTAAACAATCAAAGTGGACATGCTACACATACCCATATTCCTGTATTATATTTGAGACCAATATTGTTACCAAAAGTTTTTTTAATAATTGTGAATTATTAAATTTTATTTCCGACAATAACTACTATACTTTGTATACAGATGGTAGCAAAAGTGAGCTCTTTGTGCGCAGTGACGTTTATGATCCACAATGCAAGTTTGGTCAAAGTTTTCTTCTGGACCCTAAATGCAGTGTTTTCACTGCAGAGGTATATGCGGCCCTCGAGGCCCTGAAGAGGATTGCACATATAAATAGTTTTAATAATTTTTTAATTTTAACAGACAGTTTAAGTATGGTCCAAAGTTTAACTAATCTCAGATTTGACTTTAAAAAAAACTATATTTTGTATAATATTAAAAAATTGTTATTTAGTTATGCAAAAAAGGGTATACAGGTCTCTTTCATGTGGATTCCATCACATAGGGGCATAACAGGAAATGAGATAGTAGATAAAATTGCACGTGATGGAACCAACATGTTGGATGTTAGCTCCATAGTAAAAGTACCTTTGACCGACTGTTATCAATCTATTGACAACCAGGTCAATAGCTTATGGGTCGAATTTTGGAAACAAGATCAAGAACAGAAGGGTAAATGGTATGGAACTGTTCAAGAAAAACTACCTGTAGCACCATGGTATAACAAACTGAAAATGGCCAGTCGGGACTTTGTTACCACTATAAATAGACTGCGCTTTGGTCACTCCACCGTCCCGGCCCACCTGGCTCGATTGGGCATAGTGGAGAGCAGTTACTGCACCTTCTGCAATAATTCTGTTGGTGATATCGAACATTTCATATTTACATGTGAGTGCTTTTCATTTGACAGATTGATTCTTGTCAGTGAAATTAGTGACATAGTGCAAAATCAAGTGACAGTGCAAGATCCCTCCCGCCGGCTGAGTGATATGTTAAAAAATAGATCCTATTACGTGCCTCTATATAAATTCATCAAAAATACAGTGGGGAAATTATAATAAACCGAATAAAAATACTCAAGACTTGGCCTAAAGGTCTAAATGCCAGGCCATAAGCTCCAAAAAAAAAATACTCTTTGGAATAGTGTTTTACGTTTACGCCCGCCTAAGTTATGGTTTTACGGGTACTAGGGGTGTCCACTTTGAAAATACATCGATGTATTTTTTCGATGTGATGCATCGAAACTGTGCATCGATATATTCCGATGCATCGGTTAAAAACATCGATGTTTTTTCAACATCGAGTACTTTTTCTGACTTCAAACAACCGACAATTTTGAATGATCTACTACTCTTACATCAGTACTGTCTGCCCGCACGCCTTTTGTGAGTGTGTATGTGTGTTCAAGGATGTTAGTTCGATAGATAGATATTCTTAATTCCATGACACACAAAGTGTCTTATTCGTAAGAACTAATATATTGTTAACAGACGTAAATATTCATAGTTATTTATTTGTATTATTTATATTTGTATGTTGATGTGTATATATGTATGTATACGTCTGTATGCATATATTTGTATATATGCATAAATAGGAGATATTCCTATAGTATATTTGTTTTATATATTTGTAAAATTAATATATAACTTAGTTAATTATCATTTTTATTTTGTTATTATTTTATACTGCTACACCTACGTCAAATTCTCGTGGGTTGACTGGTAGATTTTTTTTTTGTATTATTCCCTTTGTATTCTTTTATATCAAGGAATGCAATAAAGAATAAATAAATTATTATTTATGATCATTCACCTACTACTAAATGGACGGCGGATCTAGAACAAAATTCGCGAAAAATGTGTCGCGAGTCAACCTATACAAACGTATTATATATATAATTTTACTTGCGACAATTTATCAGCCTTTTAACTTCAACAAGAGGCTGCATTCTTTTCGCCTTATGAAGCTTCTAGCGAAAAAAATCGGTATGGTTTTTTGTTTTTACAATTAATGTGAATTTTAATTAAATACTACGTATATTGTATCTAAACAAAATATTCTTTTTAAATTATTAAATATTAATAGTTTAATATAAATAGTATCGAAAAAATATATAAATAGTTTTGCTCGTTTTGTGATACTGTACGGCAATTTGGAGTGTATTATCAGGCGACAAAACGAAGACTGGCGTTCAATTCGAGCTCTTTTTGCATTTTGGAACTCTTTTGGCTCGGACACTTTTGAGCGCATAGCCGAGGTCCATTTAGTAGTAGGTCAATGTTTATGATATTATTTTAAATGATAAAAAATGATACATTCACAATATAAAACTTACATATGGAATACAACTCCATCTTTTTGTACAACTTTAAGTATTTGACTGCTTTATGCACACGTTAACCGCACCGATTGGCATTTTTCAAAAAACACCTACTTCGGCGGAAATGATTCTTATAGGGATAAAAATCTAGTGCGTTTATAAAAACGATTCTGTAAGCAGGTTTAATCAACGCACAAGATTTTTAAATCCAATACTTTGGCAGAGGGCAATAATCATGCGAGGCGAGTCCACTGTGTTAATTTTTTTTATAGGATAAGTGTGACAAACGAGCACACAGTCCACTTGATGGTAAGTGGTTGCTGCGGCCCATAGACATCTACATCTATCCTCTGTTACAAATCAAAATGTAGATGCGTTGTCACTCGTTAGGACTAAGATGGAATGCCTCATTTCCAGTAAAAAGGGCCTCCGGCCACCTGCACTCACCAAGCAAAACGCAGAGGTAAACCTCTACTTCACACTGGTTTTCTGTGAGGTCGTGGTACCACCCCGGTTCGAGCCGGCCCATCCGTGCGACAGCAAAAGCTGCCGTGTGGCTCTACCACTGTTTAAAAATATAAATATATATAAATGGTCTAAAGGCGTCAACTCACTTGCCTGCCGAAGGGGCAATCTAGGGTGTAGAAGTGGGGATCACCCTTAATTTCCTCCTTAATTGTGATGTGTGTATGAAAGCAGGGTTAATTTGCTAAGTCGGCCCTGTGGCTGGGCGGCAGGGGCGCAAGAACTTCTTTGCTCCCTAGATCATAGCTACCGCTGCCACGTGTGTAGCACCATTGGAACAATTTCAATCAGTTCGTTAGTGACTTTCGCGCGCAGCACACTTCACAATAGATATCAATAAAACATGTGAAATTTGGATACTGGTGACAGAAGTGTATAAACAGCGGCTTCTTCACCCATTATCTCCTTTTTGTTTTTTTTTTTACGGCAGCACCGCAAAAGCAACGTTATTTGAACGTTGTAACGTTTTTAAACGTGGTAGAGTCATGCTGCAGCTTTTAAGGACTGTGTTATGGTTGTAATTATTAATTAATTAGTTGTTTTATCAGAAATATGGGTGTCTATGGGCCACAGTATCTCCTTAACATCAGGTGGACTGTGCTCATTTGTCACCCTTATTCTTTATAAAAAAAGAACCAAGGCTATATTTACCAATTCATTGATATTTCGATAAAACTGGCGCCATTCTCAACGCATGTGTCAACCGAGATGTACACTTTCATACTGAACGGCAGGCATGTGTATAGAGAGACAATTCTGATACTGTCTCGATCGCTGTTCATCCTAGATTGCCCAGCGGCATGCAAGTGAGTAGCCGCCTTAAAACCGAGACAGACCAGGCGATTTTTTTTGATTCTATTTAGCACAGTGTTTCCAACCAGCCAATTTCTTGATTTCGCTAAGGACTGACAGCTGCCAAGTAGCACCACCATTAGGTTTAATATTATACCTTCTAAATCAGAGCGCTGTTTTTCTGAGTTAGAAGTTATAATATTAATAGTGATATAAGTATACCCATTTTACCATTGGATGGTTATCATTGATTCGATGTTTTATGAAAATACATCGATACATCGAGTGTATCAATAACTTTCCAAAACATCGGATCGGTTCGATGCATCGTATTGTAAACATCGAGTGAATTCGATGCATCGATGTATATCGAATATCCCTAACGGGTACCCATCCTAATAAGAAGCTAATAAACCTATTTTAACTTTTTATGAATAACACTGTTAGGGTTTTATCACTGGTTTTGTGCACCTAAAGGCCTAATATTTATTAATAATAATTGTAATTACGGGGGAGTTCTTTTTCTGTGATAATTTTCTAATTAAAGAAAACGATTATTTAGTCTTGAAGAAAAAGATAATGACGGCGTAAATAAAAGTCTCAGTTAAATTTAAAAACGAACAGAAAAATAAATATATTTTTAATTGAAATGCTTAAAAATGTCATGTAATTACGCGGAAGGACTATCACCATACGAACACAAAGGCATCTTGGGCGTACCAGAAGTAATTTATCTAATTATTTTATATTAAAAACTAAGCCTAATGTTCCCGCAAATGTTCTCACAAAACACTTTTTATCCAGAAATTTGACACGCTTGAGAAGTTCAACGAGAAATGCGAAATTTTGGCTCGGCTAATGTGTCAGAGTAAACACACTGTGGTTCATACTGGAGCTGGGATAAGTACTTCAGCTGGGATACCAGATTTTAGGTATGTGGAACTTTTACATAACAAAATTATTAAATATGTGATTTTAAACTGTATAATATTTTTAGAGGACCAAATGGTGTTTGGACATTGGAAAAAGAAGGGAAGCGTCCATCTTCAAATGTATCATTTGCTGATGCACAACCTACAAAAACCCATATGATATTGAAGAAATTGGTAGAGTCCAATAAAGTGCAATATATAGTTAGCCAGAACATTGATGGTCTACACTTAAAATCTGGATTGCCACGAAAGTGTTTGTCTGAATTACATGGCAATATGTTTATTGATGAGTGCAGCCTTTGTAAAAGGTATTTACGGATCATGTACTTATTTAAAATTAAAATTTACAAATGACTTGTTTTAAAAAAATATTAATATAGCACCACTAAAATATAAACCATCAATAATAATAAATACAACTTATTCAAATGTTCAAGTTAAAATAATACAAATTTTTAATATTTTAAATTCAAAAAATTTTATCACATTTCTCAGGCAGTTTGTGCGAAGCTGTCCAGTTGAGACAGTTGGGAAAAAATGCAGTGGAGTTCCATGTGCGTCAGGTCATAATGGTGGAAGACCTTGTCGTGGGCGTCTGTATGATGGAGTTCTAGACTGGGAACATGATTTACCAGAAAATGACTTGTTAATGGCAGAATGGCATTCAAGGTAGGGTAAATCTATGGCCAATTTTAACTATGTAGAAAGTTGGAAAAGTGATCCAACTTTATTATAATTTATTTTTGCAAAGTAACGCCTGATTCTATTAATTATAATATGTAGATCTATAAAAGAGAAGGCATAATATAATAAGTGAAGTGCTACGAAATTCCTGTTCCTTTGAATATTTTAATAATGTGACTGTGTTACAAATTAGCTTATGGTTGTGCTTGATGGTTAGTAGCCACTTTGCCTGTATACTATCTTCCACATGCAAATGGAGAAACCTTCCTTCATAGTGTTGTTTGGTTTAAAAAAATATTTCTCCTTAAGACAATTGTCACTTACGTGTGAACAATAATATCTATATAATAATTATAGTTATAGTGCATGCGGGTAGTAAAAAATACATTGATCGATCTACAACCAAGAAGTGAGTTCAATGTATTCCTATCTAACTCTAAGGTGGTGGTCCAAGTTAATTATAATGCATTGTTTCATCATCTATACATTTATATAAATAAATAATATTGAAGTGTCTGTTTGTAATGTCAAAATCTTTTTAGTAAAGGCGTATGAAAGTATATACAGTACTTAAATAACAAAAACAATTTTAAAATTTTTGTCTGTCTGTCTCAGTCTGTCTGTCTGTTCGTTCCGGTTAATCTCCAAAATGGCTGGACTGATTTTGACGGGACTTTCACTGGCAGATAGCTGATGTTATAAGGAGTAACTTAGACTACTTTTATTTTAGCAAAACAATTAGGGTTCCACACAAAAAGATCAAAACCCATGAAATGCAACCACAATAAATTTCATGTAAACAAAGTCGTGGGGAACAGCTAGTTATAAATATATTCAAATAATCTTCTTCTTCTTTTAAAAATATTGATAGAATTCACTTCTTTCACATGTTTTGGAAGTCGATTGTATAACTTTTTTGTACCATAGTTAGTTCTTACGGCAGATAACACAAAATTGGGTTATATAGTTATTGACTTGACTTTTTGTTGTGAATGTAATGTGTGAGTGAATAAGCTGTGAAATATCTTGTAGATAAGTTTACACGTATTTGTAAAGTTGCTTAATATTTAAAAAAAAAATATTTTTCTAAATCGATTTCGATGGTATTAAGAAGTAATTTTGTGCAAAATTTTAATAATTTTGTTTTGTATTATTTGTACTGGTTTCAAATTGATTTCGGTATACATTCAACTATTTTATGCTATGAGGGGCCCACAAGTGATCCCTCTCCTATAAAAAAAAAAGTGAGGAGAGGTTGTTGTGAATATGTTGTAAGTAAAGCTCACTTACAAGTTTCAAGTAATATTTTTGTCTAGTGTCAAATTTCATCACTAATGCTTAGTTTAGGATGATCGGGTATTTTTCTACTTTTGGAACTAAATACTATGTATGAAGTTTTGGAAGTATTTATTGTTAATAGATTGTACTCAAACCAACCATGAAGTGTGTTTAGATCCTCTTGTGCGTGCATTTTTATTTGTTTGATATTGCTCCCAAAATAAAAGAAGTTTGTATCATCTGCATAGAGGGCAAGGTGTTGTGAGTAGTACGGAATGACTGACTGTGTCGAAAGCTGAAGAGAAGCCATTGTTTCCTGTGAAGACTATGAATGCCTCATAGCTTGTAATTAATAACCTAAAATAATAATACTGAGGTAACTCCTTGATAACGATTATTTAAAATGCGTGACAGCTTGCCGGCTTTTCTACTCTTCAAACTGGAATACAACAGTGTAATTTGTTTTTTTTATTACTGAGCATAATACAAATATTTCTTTGTTTTAATTACATATGGTGACAGCATAAAGGCCAAAGTCTTGACCCCGGTGGCACATAAGAGGCCAGATAACCACATAGCCCCAATTAAATGGTGGTATACTCAATTTGATAGATGCAAAATATGTGCTTAGACATGCAGTTGCAGAAACAAGCCTGGATCAATCAATCAATAACCAACTTGTATAATATGCCTTATGTAAAATTCTAGAGATCTAGTACTGCCATCATCAATCTGCTTGCCAATCTTCTTTACAATTTGAGAGTACCATGACCAGTAATAATGGATTTTGCTGGACTTATAGAGGTTGTGATAATGTTAAAATAATTAAAAAATCCTGATACATTTAATGTTAACTGTCGAAATCTTTCAGTATTGCAGATTTGAGTATTTGTTTAGGCACAACGTTACAAATAATTCCCAGTGGAAATCTACCTCTTGAGACTGTGAAGTATGGCGGAAAGCTAGTTATATGTAACTTGCAGCCCACTAAACATGTAAGTTATTGTTCAAAAATTTTGATAGTCTTAAGCATTTGATTATTGCCTTCTCATATTAAGAACTATTAAACATAAAACCAGAATGTCGAAAACAGAAATATGCACCGTAGAAAAAAAAATTGGAAGAAAAAATGTGCATTATAAACTGGCTATTTTTACTGTGAAAGCAAAAATAGGGCTTAATAGGCGAACGAAATAAAAGCAACACATTTTTAAGTAAACTATTTAATTTATGTCTTAAAGCTACGCTGCAGCTATATTATAGTTGCAGCATGAATGTGTCGGCTTGATTGGGTAGGAGCACACTCTCATAGAATACCAGTGAGAAATAGCAGCTTAAAGCTGCTATGTTTCGTATGTAGAGAAACGGGGTCTCCTTTTATCTGGAAACAAGGCATTCCTTCTTAATCCACTGTAGGTGATATTGTGAATTGTGATTCTTAATCGAGAATATATGCACATGTTTACATGAGATGTTTTTGATAAGTCAGAAGAAATTACTTATATACCTATGAAAGGTAACACCATCTTTTTGCAAATTTGACATCGTACATATCTTTTTGCAGCAAAAAAACTGAAACAATTCGACATTTTTGTTACGACGTCGATTTAGTCGCGCAACTAGATTTAGTCTAGTGATCAGTTGCGGCTGCAACTAGTTACATAGGTAAAATGTAAAGATTTTTTAAGTAAACATCTAAATTGCATTAACTTTGTTTTTGTAAAATGTACTGCTAAATTACGATCTATATACCAACCACAAGAGGAAAGAACATTTATATACAATAGAAAAAATATACACCCTAACACACTCATTTGAGTAATTGAATCGGATCTGGTATTGGTACTAGCATCGAATTCACGATATCATATTTCCACATATTGTACATGATTATTTAGATATAAGGTGAACTAATCATAAGCAAACCCGTGTAGTGGCGGTGTAAGAATATCCACTACCCCATATCTTCCCGTGGGTGTTGTAAGAGGTGTCAGAGAGAAACTAAAACAGATGGGCAGCAGCATCTTGTGATGAAAACTTGAAAGAATAAGAAAACCTAGTTGCCAACTCGCCTGCCTAACGTGGCAACCATGGCAAAATCGCTCAGGCCAAAAGACCAAGGCAATCTATGGGGGAAGTCCATGTTTAGCAGTGATGATTGAAGCTTTAGAATTAACTTCTCACTCCAATAGCATAGAGATAAACAACAATAACTACTTAGTTTACCTATTACATCGTATTTGTACTTCCGGAATATCTGTTAGCGGTTTTGCGACTTCTGAATGACTTGACTGACTAAGATCATATTCACACAATATATTTGTCAAAATGATGTTTCATAGCTATATGCTAGAATCTAAAATTGGTGATGTCGTAGTCGAGTTATTAACAAACTATACAAGTAAATATAAGGACAAGAATGACTTATATTTACATCTGGAGTGAAATCGCGGAACTTGCTAGTATTTTACCTAAAACGTATTTTGAATTATTTTACAGGACAACAAAGCGGACCTGGTAATAAATTACTATGTTGATGATATATTACAAAAAGTAATGAACATATTAGAAATTGATATACCAGTTTATAATGAAAATGACAATCTTGTAAAGTTAGCTGAATCATCAGTTATAGAGTGGACCATTCATAAAAAAGATGTGTTATTATTAGAAAAGATTTTTAAAGCAAAGTGTAAAGGTGTCAAGAAAAAAAGAACTTTAATAAAAGTTAAAAGAAATTGTGAAGAATCGCTATTAACAAATCACGTGAATTCTAAGCATATTAAGTTGGAAATAAAGGAAGAATGTTTGTAGTTTGTTTTGGATTATAAAATAAGAAAATAATAAGTGATAAGAAATCTGAAATAAATGATAATGACTGTGTATTAATAAATAAATATATTTATCCTAGAAAAGAGTTCTCACCTCGACATGCAATATCCATCATCATGCGATACGGATCAGGATTGCGATCATTGTAATTCTCATTGTCAGTCTGCGTTCACGCGGTTAGTCTCAACGGAGACTAGCCATCTGCCTAGCAGGGCTAGCATGAGCAGGAGACAATTTTATCCCCGGGGATAGGAGAAAATGTTTATCCTCTCGCTTAGTTTTATCCACCCTTCGAGCATGGGCACACCGATGGATATAATATTCACAGTAGATAAAATGGGAGATAGACTTAGATAGATTTTTTGTATGAATATAAACTTCTCACGTCCAATGAACTAGAATTAAATTGTACCTTTCAAATGTCAACAAAACATAATTTTTTATCTTTCATTTGGTTCCATGCTACGGACGGCGGATATATGTCTACTCGTTATATCAAACGAGGATATACTTCTCCCCGTCGCCGTGCTTTGGCATAAGGGCTAAACAATTTTATCACATCAGTGGATATAATCGAGGGATACATTTTTTGTCCCCATCCCATCCCATAGTTTCTGTTCGTGTAATATCTCAGATAGTTATGCACCTGTATTTCTATTGGATCATAAAAATTTACTCCTCATCATAGGACCTTACCCATGAAGAAGGATTAGCATTAATCAAGTGTGACCACTTGGCAGACGGCTCGACCAAATGTCTCGCATCTTTGATGTTGCAGCCCTTTGGTCTTTGTATTGATGTAAAATACCTAGACCAATATAATATATTGGTCTAGGTATTTTACGTCTGGCGTAATCGAGATTGTTTTACCACCATCTGTCGGAAGCTATTAGATTTGCGCCATATGGCAGATGGCATAAAATCTTACGATATCCAACGTGACGAATGGATTTTATTACGCCGCCCCAACACGCCACCGCTCTATAAATCTAAGTGTTGCTCTGGCTGCAAAGGAATGGAATAATTTGCTATTTGTCTTACAATCCATTTACAATATACGTGTCTTCAATATGTACGGGAGCTAATAAGCTTTTAAGCTTCATCATCTACGGCTAATTCACCGCTTCCATAAGTTGGAATAGCAGTGTTGCACTGGTTTATGAAAGTTAAAAAATAGGTACTTAGGTTATTACAAGCCGGGTACTTCCGCCTTAAATCAACAATCGAGCAACTGTCACCTTTTGGAAAATTTATTATTCATCCCATAGGTGTAAAAGAAATCTTCATGGCCATAAACTATATAGCGATATAATATTCTACTATAATATGGGAAGCAGCGTTTAAACGTCCGGTATCTATTACAATCGCTATTCCGTCTGTAATGCATTTCAACTTTGGACACACGTCTAGCTGATAAAAGAGGAAGAAAAAACCTGAGTTCAATCCCTGTTGTCGGTACTACTAATTATATTTTCTTTTATCAATTTTAAATGATAGAAATCTTTGCTGCACTTGCTCGGTGGAAAAAACATTTTTAGGAAGCCCTCATCATCATCATCATTATCATCATTACCGCCCTTCACAAGTCCACTGCTGAACATAGGCCTCCCCCAAGGAATGCCACAAAGCACGGTCCCGAGCCACCTGCATCCATCGACTTCCTGCATGTCTCACCAGGACGTCCACTTATCTAGTGGGGGGTCGCCTTACACTTCGCCTACCGGCACGAGGCTGCCACTAGAGAATCTTTTTCAATCCTCAAATTTTTGAAGATATTAGGGCTTCCTAATATCTTCAAAAATTTGAGGATGTGTGCAAGCAGTGTACCAGACCAGTCGTTCCATTACCTACTTAATGATGGCAGGAGTCTAGCTATGAGACACAAAGGCTTACTCACTGCACTTTTTCTTTCCTTATAAAACTTTTTAATCCACTATACTGGATATTAGGCCCTTTCCAATTTTAAGAACTGGAGCATTCTTGAAAATTTAGCCCGTACTTACCATGCTGCTCGATTTTGATGTGCCCAGTGCGGTTACCTTCACATTAGTGACGTTATTCCCCATCACGAGTTTATGAGATTTGGGATTGTAATAAATTTGATGGATTTGAAGCCATGAGTCAGTCGACAGTCTCGTAATTGTTATGCCACGCGTAGGTATGTTAAAACAATCAACTTCACCTTACATTCCTTGCATTTTCTTTAAGGATATCTAGGGGACATTTAGTCCATACAAACTTATCTCTCTTTTTTCTCCCTGGATAATGACAGGCAAGCGTTTCTATTAAAGATGATATGTTGATGCGTTTCTATGAAGATCTTTATTTACCACTGCCATGATCGTGTTTTAATTTTTCCCCTATAAATTAATTATTATAAAATCTGAGCTTAAAATTACTAAAACTGCTAGGTTAAATCGCGGTTATCAAACATCCAAAAACAAAAGAAATTAAAATCCGATCCAGTTTTGGAGGAGGAAACAGGGAAATAAGTTATGATTTCGACATTTTTCCATAATTACTGCGAGATAGTTTTCTCTCGGCTGTTTAGTTATGTCGTGTCGTTCGGGCACAGCACGAAAGCCATAGATAGATCTTTATTAAACCTTTCCTCTCAGACCACTAAAAAAGTAAAGACTGAACATTCCGCTCTTAGGCTGAGTTTCCACTAGAGATGTGGCGGTGCAAGGATGCGTAGCGAGGTTGTGGAATGGTGTGAGCGTTTCCACTAGAGATGTGCTAGGCCGCTGAGCGGTGCGAGGATGGGTAGTGACGCTGTGAAACGGTGCGTAGATGAGCGGTGCGAGGGTGTGTAGCGGGCTCGTTGCAGATGCGAGCGGGGTCAAGTGTGGTGGGAGTGCAGCGCGCGCGCCACTGCCCGCTGCTTCTTGCATCCTTTCCTAGCACACATCCCTCGCACACATTCTTCCCTTGTTTTGTATATACAAAAACCTCGCTCCGATGCGCCGTTTCCACCAAAGCTGCGCTGAGCTAGTCTAGGTAAATGAAGTGATTCTATTGGTACTTAACAAATACATCTTTCGAACATCTCTCACGCTCTTATGACAATGGGGGTTTGATATGATGCTGCCAGATGATTTTGAGAATGAGAAAGAAAATCGCACAACACAAAATAAAAAATTGCTCTTCATACCTTAAGTAAATAAAAACACATTTATTATTTGTAATTTCATATTATAAAATTAAAAAAGGTACATAATTATTCACTAATCAACAGTTGTATATAATTATTCGCACTAGGTAAATCAGTCAGAATCGTTCATGTTGCACTGCACTACGTCTATCTTTGACCACGGCACCCAGTGACCTGATTTTTTATGACGCGCTAAGGATGCGCCAGAATTGAGATATTAGATTTATTATGCGAAGATGATTTAATAACATTTTTTTTTATTCATGTAGCTAATTATAATTTTATGTTTCTAACCTTTTGTTTTATTCAAACATCAATAATAATATAAAAAAATACATAACACTTTTGAGCTGAATTTTGGACAAGTGACGGCTCCGTGGAGCAGTGGCTTAGTAATGAGTTGCAGCGCTAAGGGCCACGCGTTCGAATCCCGGACGAAACAAGTATTAGTATAGCCTACAAATAATTGTGCTAGATCTGTTCTATGTATGTAAACTGTTCCTGCGATACAGAAGAAAATCCTAGTGTGGAGATAACATTTTTTAAAAAGAGAGGATGAGAGACCACTAATGAAATTAAAAATGATGTACAACCGACTTCACGATAATTCCAAAACTACTGGTCAGATCTTGATCAAATTTATATGGGATCTTTAAATTATAAGCACCACCTTCCAAATAAAATATAATCATCAAAATCGATTCACCTAGAAAAAAGTTCTGAGGTACACATTAAAAAAAAACAGTCGAATTGAATACCTCCTCCTTTTTTTAAAGTCGATTAAAATTGGTAACTAGGTAAATTATCTGAGTTTCAAAGACGTTCACGTTGTTATAATATTAATTTTCTTCGATGTTGCATATTAATCTTCCTCACATTGAACAATAAAGTTTTGGCTTAGCAATGAGTTGCTGCGCTGGGGACCGCGGGTTCGAATCCCGCACGGAACAAGTATTTGAATGGCCTACAAATAATTGTTCCGAGTCTAGATGTTTGTCCTTGTGCAATTTATGTTTGTTAACTGCCTCCGCGATACATGAGAAAATCCTAGTATGGAGGTAACGTTTTTCTTTAACAAATAAAAAAATATTAATACATTGCATAACACTTCGGTGTATTCGGCTATATACCGCATGCGCGCGTCTTCGCTTGCCGAAGCCGACTAACGTCATGCATACTTGACCGCTCATACACACGTTCAAGTTTACATGACGCTGCAAGTTTGATCAAGTAGGCAGAATCGAAATTCAATTTTTGCTTCAAGTAGACCTGTCATGCACACTGCTAGCCATTCACCGTCAAGTTTACCGGACGCCGCTTCAAGCGCGCTGCAAACTTGACGGTAAACTTAATCGTGTATGCCGGCCATTAGAACATTTTTCTTTTCTTAAAAGTAAAGGAATTTTAGATTTTCGTATAGATATGTGGTTTTAATCTTGTTATTGTTAATTAGTATTTAGGTTATTATACAAATATATAAAATTCCTAATTTTAAATTTAAAGATACTTTTTTGTTCTGACTTTGCGAGTAACGGGATAATTTAGTTTAATCAAGATATTATGTTATTAATAATTACGAAAATACATAATTATACCATATTGCCAAACAAGAAATGTTACATATGTATAAGTCATTCAAAATGTCGGAAATATAAAAAAAACGCACAACATAAGGGGAGTGCATTAATAAATAAGTTTTGTTAGATTATTCTTAATTTGATAAAAACAAATAGAACACCATTCTACCTAATAATAAAAAAAAAATCACCAAGTTATATATCTTGTACTGGGGACTTGCAGCACAACGCTTACTAGCTTACAACACTTCTACTCACACACCTAGTCTCTGACACAAAGCCCACATTATTTGTCGCGATTGTTTACGACGACTCTATTGATCTGAGCCTTTCTTTTAATGTCTTTCTTATATATTTATTTATTGTTTTAGGTGTAATAAATACGAAAATATTTTTTTCAAAATATTATATTAATGTAATAAAAAACTTCACATGGAATGTTTATAGAATATAAAAAATATAAACAGTTAACATAATACGAGTACATATGTCCTCCTGACTGGTTATGGCTATGGCACAATTTTCTGCTTTGTCAACTCTATCTATTTATATAAATAAAATTGAACTTTCTGTCTTTAACATTGAAATAGCTGGCTTTTTTTGGACTTAGGGATTCATTTACGAGTAATTAAGACATGAATAACCATTAATTAAATGTGTGTCTGTCTGTCTATCCAGACTAATCTTCGATATGGCTGAACCGATTGCGATGAAACTTCACGAACAGATGGAGAGCAATGTATACATTTTTTTCGAAATACTTAGCAATTAAAAAAAAAACGAAAAATTGATAAGATAAACAATTTTTGATACTTTAATTAAAACTAAATAACGCCACATTAATAAATCCTGGAAGCCGGGACGGGTTGCTAGTATTACTTAAAGTACTGCGTTATACAAATGCAAGGAGGTGATGAAAAAGAAAACTGAGTCTTTAGCCTTTCTTACGTTTTAGCCTCAGTAAATATCCCACAGGAAAAAAATGGAAAATCTAAAAGTAAATATCACAGCATTACTTTGTCCTTAGTTCGTCACCTTTATTGTTGTAGTATTTAACATATAATAATCATTCCTGTATTTATATTAGATTAAAAAAAATCTCTAGATCAAAATGACAAAACCCAGTTTTCATAAATCGTCATGACAAGAAATATGTTACTTGAAAAACTAATATAGTTACAAGAGGAAGAATTAAGTTATCAACTTGGTCCGTTTTCGCTTCCACTGACGCCGATACAGTAGCTGCTATCAGTGTTCGTATTATTGCATTCTTTGTTTCTAATAATTCTGAAAAACAAATTATAAATACAGCTAAAAAAAAAACTGAACACATGTATTCGTCTGAATTATGACTAGCACAAACACATTAGATAAAACTATAGATAAAATGAGGATAAAGTTGTGGATAAGGTTTTAGATAACTGGTATATACATTTTTATCGACCTTTCCGATCGCCTTCGTCACCAACTCGGTAAACGAAATTTTAATTTATTATGTCGAAAATTAATGTCTTTTCATTTAATTCATTTACGCAGCATAATATTCAATGGCGGATTATCCTTAAGGCAAACTAAATTTTTGATTGTTAATTTGATTTTTCCTAAGGCTTTATAAGACTTTCAATTCCTGAAAATTACAAGACTAAGTCATAAAGAAATATAAATTATAATAATAGATAGTTGTAGTTTTTCATAGAAGATTAGAAGAGTATTTTTATTCTATAAGATTTAGAAGATTTTTTTTTTAGTTTTATGACATAAAACAGTCATTTTTGTAATAATAGTACACTTAGTCACTTCGATTAATAATTTAAGATTTTTGAATGTAAAAATACTAAAAATATTTTTATTTCAAATAAAAATCATTTAATTATGATTTGGTTTTATTTACATTTTTTTCCCTAAACGGTCACAGTTTCAAACAAAACCACCAAAATTTTTCCCTAAATGGTTTTGATTTCATTTGGAATCACCCCCTACAGCCAAACCCGAATAAATCAGCTAGTGAATATCACACTGATTCCAGTCCCTATACACGATCCCTAAACCGATCCCGATATGAAAAATTCATATCGGGATTTTTCAAATTCAACAAAAAAAAATCTACCCTATAATATTATTATTTTTAAACAAATTTAGGACGTGTTTAGGAGGAATATTTTATTCAAATTTATAACCTTCTACTAGATAGCAGGGTCTATTCTGCCACAAAGCCACTAGTGTACTAAGATTTGTGTGATAAGACAGAGATATATCGTAATTATAGGCAATGAGGCTTTCCATCTTAGGCCTAAGAGGTGACCTGTAGCTCTGTTTGATTGAAGTTGGTTCCAGGTGTCTATGAACTGCAATAGACATCTTCATGAGGTGAACTGTACTGTAGGTACGTCTATCACTTCAGTTTTAAATAATACATAATAATTTGTACAATAGGAATCAAAGAATATATTATATAATCATTAAGTTTATTTAAATAAAAATAATATTAATATTTAAAAAAATATTTTTTAATATAAATATAAAACTCTAACTTTGTACTTTATCAAATATCCAAAAAATATATAGATTAATACTCTCTCTATAAACAAATCTAAGGTGCAGCATAAAATATTGTTTCTGTATATTTTGACAAAATTATGATATACAATTATAATTATAAGACTTATTTAAATATAGCTTGCCTTATAATTTTATAATTCATTTTTATAAACTTTCAAATCCACCGGCCAATTTTTTTATGTCTGGACTTTTAAACACCAAAGGATCATGATGATTGATGACACTAGTATTAATTCGTTTTATTATTAATTTAATGTTTTTTTTTTTAATTCTAAAACCGTCTGTATAAACTGCGTACGGCACTATGAAGCCATAAACCGAACCTCTGAGCGAAGACTGGCCGCCATGACCGAATTTCAAACGGTGGCCAATTTCAACGGAGACTAGCCCTCTGCGCGGTATAAAATTATTGTGCCCAAGTTTATGCGCAAACATTCTCTATTCCCTCATACTCAATTGTGTTATTTCACGCTGCGCTCGACATCTGCGAAATGACTGATTGATATCGGGCGAATCTCGTGTTTTACTTAAACCACAGAATAAAATAATAGGTTGTGGCGGCACGACATAAGCGGAACGCACCGAAGTCTAAATCGCGCTATCAAAGTTTTAAAGTATTGCGCTATATAAATATAGAACAGATTTGTATAAAAATGGAGCATTGACCTAATCCTCCCCAGGCTAAATAACTTGCTCGGAGGGAGATCTCCCCTTCTTTCACGGCCAAAAGGTAAAATTACAATACTAATTAGACTGCCTTATTGGTCTAGTGGTCGTATGCGCGGTTGCTGATCATGAGTTTCCTGGGTTCGAATCCCGGGTTGGTGGACCAAATCAGTTATTGGGTTTCTCTGTCAAGAAATTCTTAGTAGCAGCCTGAAATCAGGAAGTTCGCGGTGCTTTCACCCCCGTCTCGGAAAGTACGTAAAGCCATTAGTCGTGCGCCTGATCTTTCCCCGGTCGTGTCGTAGGTATCATAGATGGTTCACAATGAGTCGATATTATGTACAAATATGGATCCACCTTTAACTCTCTATTGAAAGATAAATAAACTGTCCTACCAGAAATAAATTAATATTAGTTTATTATCTAACATTAGTCAATGTTAATTTGTTTGGTTCGTATGAATTCTCACCAAAATATTGCAGCATACATATGACAGCCACTTGCGATAAGATATTAGCCGCTGTGCCTTCCAAAGTCCTATTGCTACCTGCAAAAAAATAATTAAATAAAATTAGTAAGTAATGCTGTAATATAATACTTTTGTAAATAAAAAAATATTTTACAAATATTTAATTAACGTAATTTCATTAACATTTCGACCTAGGACCATTTTTATTTGTGACGATTATGTTATGGTAGACTTTTCGACGATGTCTGCGTTACGCATAGTGAAAAAAGACAGACATTTCTTTGGCACATACATAAAAAGCAAATGGTGAATCAAAACCTATTTACTATTCGAACCAAACCGATTATTGATTAGATCGAATCCATATGTCTTCTCAGGTACCGCGTTAATAAATTAATAGTTGGATTTGGTTCGGATGGTTGTATTGTGTACGTCCTGCCATTGCATCCGAGCCAACATCTGATGTAATCACATAAGTGTTACCTTATATAATTTACCCATATTTTATAGTTTTTACATGGATGGTTTAGGATAGATCTTGTACGTCATAACGATGACAATGTCAGCAGTTAGTCAATATGTAAGTCAATTCGCAATAATGATTTACTTGGATTGTGGATTCTAAACCACTAAAACAGTGCATAAAATTGTGAAGTAAATTATAATGTCATAATATAATGTGTTCCTTAATTAATTATAATTAATTTATAACCTAAATTGTAAATCGTCTCTCAGAGAAAATTTTAAAGAAATAAACATATTAACTTTGGCATCGCAATATATTTATGAAAATGTAATGTATGTACATAAAAACATAAATAGCTTTAATAGGAATAAGGATGTGCATACTTTAAACACTAGGAACAAACAAAAGCTTGTAATGCCAGTTACTAGACTCCACAGAATCAGTAATTCATTTATGGGTCAATGTATACGCTTTTACAACAAAATCCCAGAACATATTCAAAGTTTGTCAATCATCATCATCATCATCATTACAGCTTTTCATAAGTCCACTGTTGAACATAGGCCTCCCCCAAGGAATGCCACAAAACACGGTCCTGAGCCACCTGCATCCATCGACTTCCTGCATGTCTTACCAGGTCGTTACTCCATCTAGTGGGGGGTCGCCCTACACTTCGCCTACCGGTACGAGGCTGCCACTCGAGAAGCTTTCTTCCCCATCGATTGTCGGTTCTTCGAGTTATATGGCCGGCTCACTGCCACTTCAGCTTACTAATCTGTTGGGCTATGTCGATTACTCTGGTTCTACTGCGGATATCCTCATTTCTAAGTTTATCACGCAGAGAAACCCCGAGCATAGCCCTCTCCATAGCTCCCTGAGCGACCTTGAGCTTCCTCATACGGCCAGCAGTGAAGGACCACGTCTGAGATCCGTAAGTCATCACTGGCAACACGCACTGGTTGTACAGTTTCAGGTTTTGAGGTATGTCTAACGAGAAGATGTGTCGTAGTTTCCCGAACGCTGCCCAGCCGAGTTGAATCCGTCATCCGAAGTTCCGAAATTTGTCAATAAACAAGTTTAAAAGTTTTATTGAAGAAAAACTGTACAAAAAGAGTTATTATAATATAAAGGAATACATGAATGAAAATAACCCCTGGGAATAAGGTGATCGCCAACATGCTGGTTCTATGAAAAATCATTTAAAAATTGTATAAACGAAATTATTGTTAAGTGAAATATGTTTGAAAAAAAAAAGTCCCGCTGGGTTTCTTGCTGGTTCTTCCCAGGACAGAGGTATTTTCCGAAGCAGTGGTAAATAAAAAATGACTTTCAATAAGTATTATGTAATAATTAATATTTAATAAAAAAATATTCTACTCTATTCCTAACCTCTGCATGTAGTATATGTATATCGTATACGTATCGTCTTTGTCGTTCTTTTTCTATTCAATACGCACAATTACGAGGATTTTGCCATAGTTGCCAAGCTTGGCAGATGGGTTGGCAGCCGCAGTTTTTTTTTTAGTTTTTATCAGAAGATGCTGCTGCCATCGATTGCTAATAAAAACTAGATACACAATCCCATGCCAAAGTTCTGTAAAAACTGTCGCCAATTGTTTTGACGTAATTCTAATTGAAATAAATATACATTAATGTAAATTCAACGTTAAATGCATTGCCTAAAGTTGTATTCACAAAGCTACGTACAAAAAGAGATAAATTTATATGACCGATACTCGCCTACCAAAACAAAATATCTTACATACATGTTTTAAAGTCAGAATTACAAAGTGCCAATAAAAAGGAATCAAATTTTATGCCCGAGGCTCGTCGTTTGCACAAGGAATTAATTTTATTAAGACTTAATTTTAAAAAAGTTTTACGATGATTTCTTGATAAAATATCAGTATTTACAATACAGCGATAACAATTAAATAATGATAATATTAATATATTGGTAAATCCAATTAGGCATGCCTTAAGCGCATTAAAAAAAATACGTATAACATGATTATACGGAATTTTTTAAAGTAGTTTAAGTACATTTCAACAGCACTATCGGCTTCAACACCCTCGAAAACCATGAAAATGACACCCATGATGAAAAGATTGGTACCTACTTCAGCTGCCATCTTGGATTTACATTTCGACAGCACTATCGGCTTCAACACCCTCGAAACTCATGAAAATGACACCCATGATGAAAAAATTGACATCTATTGCAGCTGCCATCTTGGATTTACATTTCGACAGCACTATCGGCTTCAACACCCTCGAAAACCATGAAAATGACACCCATGATGAAAATATTGGTACCTACTTCAGCCGCCATATTGGATTTACATTTTCAAATTCAAATTTATTTAATAGCCATAAATAGGGTAAGTGATAGGGTTTTACAATAGAAATAAGTTGCTTAAAGACCTGTTTAGCCTTGAGATACGGCATGCAAACTTTTTTTTTAAATTACCAAATAATATAGGTGGTAGTTGATTCTAAAATGTCAAGTTATTAAATGTAAGTTATATAGTTCAAAATGTCATAATTTACTATGTCAATATCATAATTAAAATTTGAATACATTCAATCAAAAATAAAGGTCTGATAAAATAGTGATACGCAGTGATACACAGCAATTACGTCTATCATATGTCAACATGCATATCATTATCATTTTCAAATTCCTTAACACTATAATAACATTTTTTTATTAGCCATTCACGTAACTTTTTGGTCATGAGAATCATAGAGCCGTGTTTGAACTGCTTTGGAATTTTATTAAATATTTTTACACACATACAGTTACAACCTTTCTGATAGACAGAAGTTTTTGGTTTATGGTCTAAGACAAGCCGTTTACTATCTCTAGTGCTTCGTGGATATATATCATAAGCTGACTTAAATAACTCTGCATGTTGTTTGACAAATTTATATATTTCTAATATGTACATGTCAGGGACTGTTAATATACCCAGCTTAATAAATAGGGGCTTGCATGTATCAAATGGCATACCTTTCTATATTCTTATTCCTATATATTTCTATATTCTATATATTTCTTTCTATATATTTCTATATTCGTATACATTACCGCATATAGCACGTATACATTTTTTTGTGCGATGAGAACTCTATTTACTTCAATGCTGTTGCCCCACAGAACCAGACCATAATTAATATTAGACGCGACGTCACCATAATAAGCAGACATAGTTACGCTAAGAGTCGTTATCTTAGTTAAACGCCTTAAGACGAAAGCAAACCTATTAATTTAATTACAAACTTTATCAATGTGGCCAGTGAAATTTAAGTTCTCGTTAAGTACTACACCTAAAAATGAGACCATGGTAGTCCTTTCAATAGATATGTTTTTGTACGCAAATTAAGATTATTTACTGCTCGTCCTTTTATGTTAAAATTTATGAAATTTATCTTATTCAGATTTACATTTAGATTAATTAATTTAAGATATTGAACTATATTATTAATTGTGATATTAATATCATTTTCATAATTATTTAAATTGTCATTATAATTCGATTTAACAATAATGGAAATGTCATCTGCAAACATTATGCATTGATGTTTAGTCACTCTCGGTAAGTCATTTATATATAATAAAAATAATATAGGACCTAGAACGCTACCCTGTGGTACTCCAAACTTATTTATTTTATAATTAGAACGATCGGATGTAGTTCTATTTCTCTCGCTTATTCTATTTATTTCTACGCACTGATGTCTATTTTCTAGATATGTTTTAAGCCAAGAGTGAGAAAGACCTCTGATCCCATTCTTTTCCAGTTTATCTAACAAGACATTGTGAACTACAAAATCGAATGCCTTAGATATATCGAAGAAAAGTACAGTAGTACGCTGTTTATCATCGAGTCCAAGAATAACGTTATGTATTAGATTAAAGCACGCGAGGGTAGTTGATTTTCCCCTTTGGAAACCATTTTGCTCCGGTGTAATGATTTTGAATTTTGTTAAATAGTTGAGCAGTCGTTTTTACATGGCCTTTTCTAATACCTTTGATAACACCGGTATTAATGTAACTGGGCGATAGATACCGATTTCAGATTTATTCTGTTTTTTGTGGATAGGTTTCACGATCGAGAATTTAAGAGCCTCAGGAAAGCATCCTGTTTCAAAGAATAAATTAATTAGGTATGTTAATACCTGGGCTAGTTCATTTTTACAGAATTTTAACACTTTTGTTGAGATTTCATCATACCCACATGAGCTAGAATTGTTTAGTGATTGTATAATACGACTAGTTTCTGTTGAATTCACCGGTTCAAGAAAAATTTACTTTGATATATGATTGATCGTTGATAATATCTTTTTGCTTTTTATCCATATCATACATATACCTTCCATCAGTTAGGTTTACGTAGTAATCATTAAACAGTTCAGCTATTTTTGTCCCATTTGTTATTATACTATTTTCGTATTTCATATGTGTAATGTAATTTTGTGGGAGTTCGCTTTCCGTTACATCTTTGATGAGTTTCCATGAAGCTTTACAAATATTCTGACTGTTCTGGAGATATTTGTTATTGCAATTTTTTGGGCTATTGATATGCACTTCTTAAGCATTTTTGAATAC